AGTAGCAGTGGTGGTAGTCGTCGTCGACTCGGGAGCGGAGGTGGTTGTGGTGATTGCCGTTGTGGTCACAGGCGGTGCAAAGTTGCACAGACGACTGCTTCTGCTAAGCATGATGATGATGNNGTGGTGGTGCTGCTGATGATGATGATGATGATGCTACTGCTGATGATGCTGCTGATGATGAGGATGGTGATGATGATGACGATGATGGTGGTAATGATGACGACGATGACGATGACGATGATGGGAGGAGGCACAGAAGGAGGACTTCTTGAATGTATGTAAGGCAGGCTATGCATGGAGTACTGAGGCCTTTCGAAAGAGTGCGAAAGAGATTCTTGAACTTATTGCTCCTAGAAGTTCCTGCCTGAAAGAAACACGTTCACCCTCTGAGGCCAAGCAGCAGAGTCTGCAAGGCTGTGGCTTTCACACATTCCCTGCAGTCCAGTACTCAAGATGGCGGACTCAGAACGAGCTAAGAAAAGTTCTCGATCTCTGTTTTGAGGCCTCTTGTCCAGATCCCAGCGCCACTCGGCATTGCAACCTGAGCTCAGAAAGGACGCGGCGGATCCGCAGTACAAAACGTAGCACTGAGGGCTGCGCAGCAGGACTTACCACACGGATGGCTGTGCGACGCCGTGCACATATTCTCCTTCACCGATGGGTGCTATCTCGTGCAAGTGACACTGCTCTGGGCCTGAACATAAAGCTTCTGCACCTACCCTGTCATCGCGCCTCCATGCGCGACTGCCACAGATGGGATGCCGGGATGTGGAAGTTGGCCACGTCAGGGTTGCCATCACCTTATGACTCCCTCAAGAAGGGTGCTTCTTGGAGATGCATCCCAGTACGAAATCAATTCAAGATAGACTCACAGATTTACAGTCTCTGCATGTTCTGTTGCAGGGCCCTCCATGAAGAGTGCGTCTGGAGCACTGCAGCCTCGGCATTCGTCGTACTCGACATCGTAGGTGCAGCCCATCCGGCAACAGCAGTGTCGTCCGTCATTGCACAGATATGCATTCCTCGCCAGGTACGAAGTGGTACGAAGTCAGGCCGGCAGAGGCTGGCGGAAATGTGCCATGTTAGCTGCACCTGTCCTGCTTTCGCAAGTGTCGCCTGTGCCCCAAGTCTGGGATCCTCACCAGGGCTTCCAAGGATCTCGATTTCCGATGCTTCCTCTCCGGCCCTTTTTTACATGTCTCGCCCCTTCCCTTCCTGGAATGGGATCTTCCCGGGGAACCTCAGAGCCGCAGGTCTGTTTTCGGGCTTCGGATAGCAATGCTCGGAGGCACGGGAATCTGGGGCGCTTCTTCTTGCTGCTCCTGGACGACAGCGACGTGTTGGCCTCGATCTCAGGCTCTTGGCTCTCTGTATCGCAGCATCGCAGCACTTCTCATGCCCGAGTGACACTCTCGCTTCTCCAAGCTCCAGAGATACTCCGCATTGCAGCAGCAGGAACGACCGCAAACATGACCTCACGGCTTACAATGCCCCTTAGAATCCCAGACTTGTTGCAGAAACACAGCCGAGGCCGGATCTGTGGTCTTTCGTGCAATTCCTCAGTGCGGTGGCTAACAGCACCCCAAACAGGGGATTGAGACACCCCTAGAGCTTCGTGACCAACGTCATGCCAGGCGTCCCCTGGGCTCTCCCTTTCCAGAGATGCGAAGATTGGATGTGAAAGGTAGCGACCTTCAACTAAACGAGTTGGCACATGCATGAGCAGAGCAGGTCCGGTGCCCATGATGTAGTCTGAACTGAGTCTGAATTACCTTTGGCCTACTGCCGCGATTCGATCCCGGGCGCATCAGGATCATCATCGTGACAGGCCGTGCAGCTGTCCTTCTCGACATCATAACTGCAGCCAAACCTGTGCCGACGTGCACGTCACCCAAAGCAACCAGATTGAAGCCCCTGACAGTGGGCCTGCAGCAACATCGGCCTGTGCCGCATGCGTACGCGTTCCTGCCAGCAGGTCGCGCATCGTCGCGTTGTCTCCTGAACCTTCGCTTCGGACGCTCCTTGGGCCGCACCTGTCTCCGCTGACCAGAGGCCAAGTCTGGGAGCCTCTCAAAGTGGACTCAGCGAAGCGAAGCGACGACGTGAGTCCGTCCATCTCTCCGTGGTCTCCGGGAACGGGCGGCCTGGGATGGGCTCGGCCCGGACCACGGCGACGGCGGGCCTCGCCTCGCCTTCCAGGGATGAGACTCGCGACTCCTGAGCTTTTTTGCTTTGAGGCGGAACCCGGCTCGTTCCCGCCTCGGGGTTCGTGGAGACGCCTCAAGGCTCAGAGACGGCGAGGACGGATAAAAGCAAAGATGTCGAACATGCAGCAAACCTATAATGTCGTGACGGTAGACACAGGCTGCAGAGCGGAGCGGACAGCAGCTGGGCGCTCCCCACGAACACCTCGGACTCATGCTGGCCCAGGCCCGGGAAACGCACACTATGCGGTCACCATGCTAATCGTCAGTCAAGGGTCCGCAGATGATAGACCATGCCAGGTGTAGCGGCAAGCGCATTCCTACCACGTCGACCTTGGTCATTGTGAACAGGAAAATTGACGGTCTGCTGGGACTGCGAGGACTCAGGCCTTAACTTTTCCCGAAGGATCATCAGCACCGCATGGGGATTTCACACACAACTGACTTGAGCCAAAGGGCTCTTGCAGTGACGGTATGGCTCAACCCTACATCAAAGCAACGGTCGTCGAAGCTTCAACGAAACACTCAAACAATGGGCGAAGCCTCATTCGCGATCTCCCTGGGGGACAGCAGCGAGGCGTCGATCTTCTTCACCGCGCGGAGCTCAGGCACGCACACGCTCACCGATAAAAGCACGTCTATCTGCTGCGCACGTGGGGCTGTGGGTTTGGGGTTTCGGGCGGGTTTAGGCATGGAGGTTCAGGGTTCAGCGGTGGTTGGGTGTGGGTTTCAGTTGTCGGAATGGGGGTTCAGGGTTCAAGATGCTTCAGGCTTTAGCCTGGCCTGGCCGGAGGTCCGATGACGAGCCCTCCAGACGGTGCTGAAGGCACCTTGTCCCTTGGAAGAAGTGTTGAGGACTGCAAAGAAATGCCGGAATCTCAGAAGGCGCTGTGTAGGTGCCAGACGACGAGGGCCTCGATAGCATAGAATTCAGTGAGGTTTGCCGGAAACTGCCTTGGACCCCGTTGATCATCACAAACGACAAAAGGGTCTCCACAATTCACTGAAGGCTGAGGCGATGAAAGGTCCATCGTCATCGCCGAGCCTCGTCTCTTGTGGCCCGACACCGCACATGCTGAGACGGAGTGAACTTTGCTACGGCACACACCTTCGCAGCCACGGCTCGGGATCACGGCACCATAGGCAGATCTGGATTCTTTACGAAGCTCCCACGTGTTTAGAGTCTCGTCTCGGGCTAGAGCCCAAAAAGCCCTCCGCTGTCCGCTGCCTCTGGAGATGATGCCCTCCACCAGACCCCACCAAAACAAAGAGTGGTCCTCCCTACTGTCTCCCGTGTAGCAAACTCTGCAGAAGCCTTTTGACTTTTGACTGACACGATCCACGTAGCATTCGGGTTGAAACTCGTGGCTTGCGGCTTGTTGGGATGCTTTTGCCTGAAGATGCCTCTGCCCGCACCAGATGACATGCTTGACTCGGACTCGTCATGAATCATGCGCTAAGAAATCCCCCAGCACTCGAGCATCACGGGCAATGTCTCCTCATCATGCAACTCCAAACCGCGGTGGGCACCGCCAGAATCGTTGATCGGCAGTGACAAAAGCGAGCGTGAGAGGCTTAGATTGAATGTAACGTGCCTGGCCCTGTTTGCTTTCTAAGCTGCTGGAGTAGATGGCCTCCAAAAGTTTAGCGCTTAACACCATGGACAAATCCCAGCACATCTCCGGCATCAATGACGACTCGCCGCACACATCACTTTTTGCACGGCAAACTGCTGTACTGGCAGCAAAACGCTCAGCACTGCCATCGAGTCATGCCTCATGTCAGGCGGGGAGTTATCGCGAGCTTCAAGCTTCAAGCCCTGAGCACTTCTGGGATCCAGAACGCACGATCTAGCTTCGGTCAATTTCTTGCCAAGGGCGGGTCCGGGTGTGCTTTGCTGTTGAAGGATGGCAACACAGAGCTACTCATCGATGAGGATCGGTGCTTTCCCTAGCCAGTCTGGACCGACCAGAATCCTGCAAGCACTTGTCAGGCTAAGATAACTTTAAATAATGGGTCAGCGGCCGGGCGAGTGCACAATGCCCCCCGCATCTTGTTCGCAGCGACAGTCGATGCTACATGCAGGATGAGGATGCGAGGTGCCCGACGTATCACCTTACTTCTACAGTCGATGTGACTGCTTTCCAGTTCTTGCTGGGGGCTCTCCGTGTTAAGAGGCGAGCTTGTTCTTGCTCATCATTCCACAAAAGCGGTCTTCTCGCTTCATGCCCAAATGACACTATCACGTCTGCTAGCTCCAGAGATACTCCACACGACGCGAAAAAGGAACGACCCGACTTGCAACGGCTCCCTTTGAATCCCAGACCAAAGTCCTGCAAATACCCGTCATGCTCAAACACCGGTTCTTTCTCTGAGTGTGCACATTCCAGGAGCACTTCACGGCCGGTTCCGAAGCAGGTTCCACCAGTCGGGTGGCACGCTGCCACTGTACACATCGCGTGTTTGCACCATCTCAGCGACTACAAAACATAAGCTCTTGCTTCAGATGGTGACATGGCATCTTCTCAAGGGCACTTTTTATGGTCCACTGATCGCTCAGTCTCGGGAATCTCTACCATGATCTTGGAACTGCAGTGTCACAGTAAAATCACATGAGGGATGCCCATCTCGACTACGCTCTAAAAGTTAGGGCTGTCTGAAGACAGTCGTCCACCGACTTGAAAGTTTGCAGCAAACGACTGCATTGCGACGCAATGAGACTGCTTCTGCGTGGATTTAAAACCATGGCCTCCTCTACTTTCCCCACTCATAGAGCTGCTGAGGCAGCGAGGGGCCCACGGAAAACTTTGGTGCTTCCCTCTGCAGGAGCCTCAGAGGGCGACTGAGATGAGGGGATCGTTGGATACCGCCTGACCTTTCTGCCATGCCCTTCCAGGCAAAGGACAGCGAGGCTCTGCCGGCACCGCCCAGCCCTCCAAGGCATCAATCAGAGATGCTGGGGCCTGCGCCTGACTGGCTGACCGGCTTTCGGTTGCACAAGCACGCAGTCAACCACAAATCCGACAGGGTCCCGAAGCGAACCAGCTCGAGAGCGAGTGACGAAGCTTCTGCAAGGATTTGACAGATGTACCACAGTTATAGCAAAGGGGGCCCTTACTGATGGCATTTTCAAGCCAAGACAAACCTCGAAGATTGACTCCTGAACCCGCCCCCCAAATCCGACCTGTCGTGCGAAGTGGACGGCAGTCTTTCCCCGCGCATTCCGCATCTCCACATCAGCTTGGGCCTCCGCAGGGGCCGGGGTGGGGGGGGGCAGCAGGTTTCCTTCTTGAAAGGGTAGGTGAACGAGCAGTGAACGGGAGCTTGCCTCGAGGAGTTGGGCGGTGGCCTTGAAGTTGCCGGTCAGGACACTGAACATGAGGGGAGTCGCTCCAAGGTGTTGATAGGCCAGGGTCGTCAAAGCAGAGGGACTGAGCCGATGCCGGATGCTCAGAGCCGTAAACACGATCCGCCACATCGGCTGCTCAAGTCGGAGCTGCTCATTAACGTGCGCTCTTGCTTGGATCAAAGTGGATATGCAGGCCGTTGAACCCCCACTGATCATCAAGGCAAAGTGTAGGGAATGCTTCGGGATGCTTCTTTCGGGTTGAAGCTCGCCTATAACTCTCCAGGATCCTGCAGAGCAGGCCAGCTCAAAGGCATCCAAACCAGGCAACACCCTCTTCCCAGGGTCGGATCTCGCACTACAGAGGAGTCTTACACCTTCGACGTTATCTGCGAAAGAGGCCGAGTGCAAGGCGATGCCTCTGTGGCTAGCACGGGCATGCACGTCGGCCCGGGATCTCAAGAGCACCCGGAGAGTGTCGTTGTTTCCGAAGTGGGCAGCCAAGGCCAGGGCAGGCGTGTTCTTGCAAAAGCCGATGTCGGGCTTGTGGCGCGTGATCCGGTCGTTACAGTCTGCTCTCTGCTTTAGCAAAGCCTGCACCAGGCCTGGATTACCAGCCATGACAGCGTAACAGATGGGCGTCCAGCCTGCAGAGTCCCGCTCCTGAACTGACTGGAAACCGTTCTCGTGCAGGAACCACTCCACTACAAAAGCCTCTTCGTCATTGAAGGGGTCGCTTCGTGGCGCAAAGCCTGGCACCAGGCCTTCAACAGGAAGTGCATCTAGGTCCCTGAGGCAACAAGGACTTTGTGTGTTCAGCAAAAACCGATAGTTGTGGAAGTCACCCTGCTCCAGGAAGTAGAGCAACTTCTTCCAAATCATCTGCACAATGACGCCCACGATCCGAAACCGGTCGGTTTCCCAAGTGAAATGTCCCGCACCAGGAGCATCCAGGTGCCGGCTTGTATTGAAGATTAAGCTTTGGTGAAGCGCACTGTGCACCACAATCACGAAGCCATCGTCGCGTTCTGCAAGTTCTCTTGCGAGCCGCTCGAGCCTGCACCACCCCCTGGCCACAGGGTTCAAGCGGTCCAAAGGTCTGACAGTCATATGCAAACCTTGTGCTCTTAGGCTTCAACCGCCAGGGCCACAGCTACTGGCACTTTTATGGTAACATGCTGAAGAAGCCCCGAACGAAGCGGTAAAGACCCTCTGCTGCGATTTCGGGCACTGCCTGGTCGCCCAGGCATCCTCCCCCAGCACGGCTTGGTTTGCGTGGGTCACTGCAGGGCAAAGTATCACGAAGTACTCGCATCGTGCCACATAAGATACGATGGTGTCGATCGCACATTGCCGAGAGTGTGCAGATGCGAAGTCACTGCCCTGCGGACACGAAAAATAATCATACCAAACAAAGAACTGTTTCGAAGTCATGCCGGCTGATGTAGGAGTTTTCATGCGGCCATACTGGATCTCCATGACAGGTGGGACTTGAACTTCACTCCTCCCGGAGAGCATATTTCTCAACGCATCTTGCAGCACCTTGAATTGCTCCGCGCAAGGGTCCGGATGGTGATCCGAAAGCCACTGGTGCGACACGAACATCGCTCTGCCCAGACTCTGCTTGTATTCGGTCAGCGCCCCGTCCATTTTCAACTGCTCATGAGCTCGAACTTCTCTCATCTCTAGAAGAATGTCAGCGGACACCTATCAGAAAAGTCGGCATGACAGCTACCGGAGTGATGCAATCTGCGAGCTCGGAAGACTCAGGCAATCCGAGGAGCGGTGTACATCGGAAAGGACAACTCGCTGAAGCGGAGCTCCTACACAAGACTTTCTCTCAGAAAGCATCCTAAGCATGAACTCAAGCCCAACAGTTAAGGCCGTAACCGGCCTGCAGCCATGAGCAACTCTGTCTTGCTGCTGTCGAAAAATGGCTCAGAGACATTTGAACTCTTTAGATTCTCGGTCTCTTGCTGCGCAGGCGTCTTGTGGGATTTGTAGGCTTCTTTTGCAGATTTCACATGCTACCGCGAGTATGAGAGTGCAGAAAACAGCTGCGGGGCGCAAGCGACCCGATGCCAAGGAGGAAACCACCAGATCTCCGTCACCATGCAGAGAGCCCGGCACGCTCATAAAGCGAGTTTTTGGACTCAGGCTGGAGAAGAACCCGGTCCGGCATCCTTCCTCTTTTCAGGGCAAGCTGTCTGCGAGCACACTGCAGGTGGCCCGCTAGAGCCAATTGGAAACGGACAGCTGTCTTCTATTCAACGCCGTCGGAAAGTGCAGACTTTACAGGATTTCACGCAGTTCGACGACGGCTAGCAACAGCATCATGCAAATAAAACCTTGAAAATGGCCTGGCTCGGCCTTAACAGAGCCCACTTCGGGACTGGGCTGCTAGGCATCAAAGCACAACTTCCAATGCGAAGCTGATGAAGAGCCCGAAATAGATGAAGATGCTTACATTCCAGTTGTGATCCTCGTCCTTCTCCGCGGCCTCCAGGAGGAGCTCCTGGATCACCAGGAAGAGCACCGCAACCAGAGAGAAGCTCACGAGACCGGTGAAGATGCAGCAGCTCTCCAAGGCCTCTCCGATCACGTAGGCAATCGAACCAAAGCTCGCCAGACAAAGAGGAGGCAAGGCGAGCAAGGCCACCAGAGCGCATCTGGAGAGCTTCGCTTCCTGCGCTTGGCTAACGAGGGTGCAGCCGAAGCTGTAGCCCAAGAAGCCCATCTCAATGACCGTCGCGATGGCCATCAGCATCCCGGCCCCGACAGAGCTGGAAGTCGAAAGGCCAATCAACATGCCATCTACTGTGGCATCGATGGCGACGGCAAAGATGAGGCCCCAAGGCAGACTGCTGCAGTGACCCCTCTGATTCGGGAGATCCAGTGGAAGCGTCTGGTTTGAGCTGCTTGTCATGCGACGGGGGCCCCATCGGCGGAATGCGCCCGGGTTGGTTTGCGCATGCAAGCGCTTCAGGCTCGCGCTTGTTCGCTGAATCTGCAGATCCAGTTCGCTGACCTTCTGCGGGCTGATGGATTGCAAGGCCTCGACATCCTGCAAAAGCTCGGAAAGCCGTGCCCGAGCATCCTTTGTAGCCACACCGGTGAGAATCTCAACACCATGGCAGGTCCTGTGCATGGAGTCCAATGCAAAGTCGATGAAGTGCAGCTGCTCGTCCAGCTGCTCCACGTTGATGTCATCGCTACCCCTCTGAATCTTGCTGAGCGCGTTCATTGCAACATCTAAAGTGGAACTTCCGGTGCTCAACTTGCCGAGCTGTGCCGTGGCCATGCGCTGCAGTGCCACGTGCCGGGGCGAGGAAGCAGAAGCCGGAGACGCGACGCCCTCCAAATCGACGTCCTTCTTCGCTGCCTCCTTCAAGACCTCCTCGTTTGGGCTGTGAAACTGCTCGAGAGCACGGAGGCCATACATCACAGCCAGGGCCAAGAAGAAGCCCAAGAAGGCCGAAGTGCAGTTCCAGACCTCCACCTTTGTTCGATCCACCCCCGCGACGAAGAGTCGCTGGTGAAGCATTGGGTAGATCTCCGCAAGAAGAGCCCCGATCAGGAGTCCCGCCGAGACGTTCTGAAACCGCGCTTGGACCAAATCGGAGGGGATGCCGAAACGAACACAGACCGAGCCGATGCTCATGGAGAGGGCCGGAGCTGCGACAAGGGCGACGGCGAGGAGAAGATGGTCCTCCTGCTCTGCGAGGATCGATGCCGACATGATCTCGTTCCAAGGCAACACAAAGGGGGCAACTGCAACTGGTCCGCAAACGTCTGCGGGGTATAAAGGGCCTGCAGACTCCCATGCCTACATGACTGCATCGCACCACCAGACAAAGCGGAAATTAACTTGGGGCCTTCGTCGACCAGTCTGGGTTCCGGGCCTAGGCCTGGAGAGGCCATGGCGTTTCATGGCACTCGTGGCGGCTAAGGGCTGTGCATTAAAAAAGAGCTAAGATCGCCAAAGACATGCTAGCGCAGTGAGCTAAGTTGACACCTGACGCCTGCCTCACCCGAACCAACACTTGCTCTGCCTCCCGCAAACGATCCCGCAAGACAAGGAAACTCTGCTGGTGAGCCACTCGAGACTTTCCCAGAGTGTGCCGGCGAGAATGCCGGAAACTGAGATTCATACCATTCACGGTTGCAACTACACCTCATGCTGAACTTGGCACGGCGCAGCCTGCAATCCAATCATGTTTGCTTCGAGTTTCAACTTTCCCTTGGCCAGCTTTGGGCCAGGAATCTTTACTGGAGTATGAGAAAACATCGTAAGACGGTGGGCAGCTGTCATGAAACCTCTCAGTTTCACTCATCCCGCAGCTCCCCGACACGTCCACGCGCAAGACTACAAGATCCATATCTTCAGGGCACTTCAGATGCTGAAGATGGAACTTTGACCGGCTGAGCTCTGGGACTCGGCATCCGTCGCCTGGCGGCACAGAGGATGGGGGCCCAAGCCCAACTACCGCTGCCTGGGCTCCCATTCCCACGGGTGAGGGAACTGGAGAGCCAGACACCATGGAAGGGTTTAGGGTTTAGGGTTTAGGGTCTTGGGAATAGGACACAAACGGCGAGTCCTCTACGAGTTTGGGATGCACTTTCGGGATCGAGTCTGTCTTCGCCACCTCGTCTTCCCCGTCGGCCTCCACGGGGGTAGCCTCCGGAGCCGCCATGGCTCGGCTGGCGTCGGCCGGGCGATCGGCCGGGCGATAGAGATACAGAACCTAAGCTGTCTCCAAGGAACATGAAAGCAATCCTAGTTTCACTCCTCCTCATCATCAACATCGTGACTGTTTTGGCACGCCTTGTCCAGACATCGCAGCGGCTCTCCCAAGTGTTGGTAGCTGGGCCCGGTTTCAGGGCACTGCCCTCAAGCAAAGCCACCAAAAAGGTCACAAGCTGTAAGGTCTCAAGTCCAGCTGCCTTTGCGCTTTCGGGCCAGGGCACGGCAACGATAAGCAATCCGAACGGGATCACAGGTAGGATGTCATACTCCTGCGCGTGCATGAGTGGGCTCGGTCAAGCTGCTCGCTTAGCTACTGGGGCTCTCAATGCCGCAAGGCTTTGGAAGGGCCTACCTGCAATGCCTGCAATGGCTCTCGGTCCGGCTTTGCCTGCTTCAGCTCAGCTGATGGCAACTTAAACTCCTTTCAAGACGGTGCAGAAGAGGCTTGGAGCGGTGGTGGGTCGGATGGCAAGGATTCTGGCGACTCAAAACGGTCGCACCGTGCCAGGAAGCCCTGAATGCCGGAGGCCGAAGTTTCCTTGCGCTGCTGACCCTGTGACTCCTCTGTCGTCGCATAGGCCAGCTGGAAAGGCAGCCAGGCGAAAATACCCAGAAACAACATCACCTTAGTCAAGAGAGGAGGAGATTGGGTGCGCCCAGGACGCAGCTCCGGGGTAAGCTCAATTAGACTCTGTCGGCAAAACTGCTCGGCTTTGAAACTAACCATCATCTAGTCGTTTTCATGTCAAGACCCTTTGGACCGCGTGACAGGCACCAGGGCCACAGACACCAGGAGCCTACACTTCTTCTTTGAGAGGTAGTAGCCCACCTGCAGCGCAAAGCTGCACACCGCCCCCATCGCAAGCATTGGCATTCCACACCTGATCTTCGCCCGGTAAACCCTAGCGCGCTGGCCTTCCAAAGGTACATGGACACGCGCACCTCGGATGGGTCACTGATAGGGGAGCGCATGTGGGCTGACGAGTGATCAACGAAATTTTCTGCAAGCCACCTCTGCCCTGTCGAAGGGCACGCCATGCGAGGCGAGATGTCCCATGCAAGAGCAGACGGACAAGATTGATCTGACAGCAAAAGGATTGGCAGTACTATCCCTCAACAGGGCTAAAGAAGAGCCAATTTGTCAGCTTCCCTCAGGCTCACATGTCACTTGGGAGCAAGCTTGACTTACCAAGCCAAAAAGATAGACGTCGTTCTGACCAGGGGCAGAGAAGAGCGCGACCAGGAAAAGGATCATCCATCCCATAACATGACCTCATGGTATGTGGAAAAGCAAAGTCAGAAAATAGTTCGGCTTCGGCTGCAGCGACCATGCGAGCAGGCAGTCCACAAATAAAATACATCCCAGTCATCTCTCTAAGATTTCTAAGAATAACAATGTCTCTTTGGTCTGAGCTGGACATGCCTTAGGAACTTACTCTTGCGGCCAATAATTGATTCTCGATGTATCTACCTGGACGACTGACGGTTGTTTGTGGACATGTACAGCCACGCCAAAACGAGATCGCTAGTCACATAGCCACAGATCAGAGCAAAGTAACACGAAGCCGAACAGACGAGCAAGATCCCTTGCATTTGACAGGGAAGACGCTTGCCGGGCCCTAATTCCATCCCGTCCTGCACCAAAAAACTCTGGATGTCGTCTTGCCCAGATGCGAAGAATCCACACGAAGAGCTGCCAGAAACCCACACCCCTGGGAGCTTGGTCAAACCACCTGCGGGCACGAAGCGGCAGAACGATGGCTGACGTCAAGCTCAGTGACGAGAACGCCGGAAATGAGGGGTTGGGGTGGGAGCTAAAAGCCTCTTGCTTGGAAACTGGGCAAAGTACTCCTTGGAGGAAGATCTTTAACCCCTTCTTAGGAGCAAGCCACCTGCCATGATGCTGTGCGACCTGAACCCCGTCTGATCACCCTTCAAGGACTGAAATTGGGCCCGATGACTTGGCTCTCTCTTTTCCACTGGCACCGCCAAACAGGGGGACCGAAATGCTTATTTTGCTGGTATCTCAGCAGCACTGAATGTATTGCCATCTTCTGAAGAAACATGTCTCTGTGGCCCACATGCGTTGCAGATACACGTCGTGTTGGAACAACAGCCTCACTGAGAGGGAAAACCGTGTCTCTTAACGCAGGTGGACTAAAAAAGCAATCTCCCAAGCAAAACCAACTGTTGCGCTCTTACGGCCTTGGGATGTAGTAAGCGAGAAACGGCACATTTGGAGCGGCAACCATGTAGATGGAGTAGCCTGGGAAGCGCGCACGCACAGAAGGTGCCAACGTACAACATACTAGACACTACATGTTTCAAGTTTAGAGCTCTGCGGGCAATTGCAGCACAAAGCGCAGTCCTTCAAGCCCCAGAATTCATGTGGAACATCACGACAACACAGTGAAGACGACAATACAAACAAAAACACAAACAAATCACAAAATATACGTTTTGCAGGCTCGTAGCTTTGCAACAGCCTCAAGCTTATGAAGATTCTTACACTGCAGAATACTGAGAGGCATTAACGACTCTTGCACACTGTTGCGACGTCGTTCGCACGGGCATCTGAGATCAACACCGTGACCTTGGCGCTGGCATGCCCTACAGGCCCTACAAGGTACGTGAGCCGTAACAAAACTTCGCGAAATACAACTGATCTGTTGCTCCCAAAATTGTGCAATTTTAGCAGTGGCCTCAAATCCTTACATGTTTTCGATGAGGCTCTGGATACGCAGCTGCCTGGGGCTTTAAACTCTCAGACCTCAACCACCAAAACAAACCAAGGTAGATTGAGCCCTTTTCCAACAAAACGGACATACAAACTGAAGCACTTTCTACAGCTTCTGGTTTGTAACGAACGAACTCTACCGAAACAAACTTGAGTAGACCGAGCCCGGTTTCACATATCCGGGGGACGGACGGTGCTTCGTTTCGTAGAAAAGAGGGTTGATGTGGGAGACCATGACCACCAAACGACACAAAAACAGACTGACACAAAAGAACTAAAAACAAAAAACACTCAAAGCAACAGGACAGGTTTAAGATCAGCATGACAAATCAGCAGGGTTAGAAAAACAAGGTGCTGAACATGTACAGGATCCTGGGGGTTTTCCGTCCTGTGTTTTTGCTTACGCAAGGATGAGGAACAGCAAAGCACTCAACCGTGAAGAAAAAAACCATGCAGTTCAGGCAAACTAACAACACAACACAACACAACGCAACACTGCACAACACAACACAACACGTTATCACAGTACTCTAGTCGTACTGGGCGGCCCTTTCGGTTAAACCGTTGTTGAAACAAGGCACTGAAAGGCACCGTGTCGCTGCCAACATGACGTAGAATCAAGGGCGCAAGCTCCGTGCGAACCAGGTAATTGAACTGCCTTGGTTTGGAGAGTGTGCAGGGAAGAGTTTAAAAAGCAGCTTAAAGTGGGAAGACAATGACCTATGCCGAGCAAGCTACTCAAGATAGCCCTCGTCCTCGGTGGAGCAACTGTACCACTTCCGCAGCATGCGGAGCACCTGTGGCACAAGTTCCGATCTCGGCTTCGGGGCTTGACTTCAAGAGGATGGCAGCTGCAAAGGCCTACCGAAAGCGTTCTGTTGCCAAGCACCCCGCGACCTCCGAAGAATGGCAACAGAACTCTTGACGAAGACAGCCTGCTTCACTCTTGCGGTCAGAGCAAACCGATCCAGCCCGAAACCAAGAGCCGATTGCCACCGCGTTAGTGTTGAATCTACATTGCATCTTCAATTCCTTTGATGCCCCCGCCTGCCAGCCGGCTGAACCACTCAAAAGACTGGACGGCAGCTAGAAACGATCATGCAAAAGGGCCGCCCAGGCGCCAGCTTTCGATCGCATGGAACCCGTCGACCCGTCTCAGGATGAAGGTGGTCTTGGAAGGCACAACCTCGACTCGAAAATGCTCTTGCTTGCAATGAAACTGTACAAACTCAGCCCTCGGGCATGATGCATAGCAGGAAGGTCGTGAAATGCGAAGATGATGCCTAGCTGCGCTAACGCATCAGGCTGGGAACCATCCCACCCTCGAGCCTGACACGGACCCCTACAGAGTCCCTAGACAACACTGTTCGGGGCTCACCAAACGTGCCAAAAAAAATCTACACCGTGATGGAGCCACAACAGAATGCACTTCAGCTCAGGCAGCATGAGCAGGCGACTTTCCGCACGTCAAAGCTGCGCAGCTGAGCCGGCAACTCCTCGACATCCTCGCCACACCACCCCAAGTCCAGCTATAAGGAATCAAGGAGCAACGAGGTTCAGGGTGCACTGTGCCTGTGCAGAAAGCTCTCGGATAGAGGCTATACACGGCACACTCGCCGACTCACCGAGATAAGCAATGCAGTGTCGCATGCAAAAATGGAGACAGGACCCGGGGCTCATGGTTGGGTCTGCTATGACAGGCGGCCACACAGACCTTCCACATGGGCGTGCTTGTGCTTTGTATCAGGCTCTGAACAGGCTCGGTGTTAAGGATTAGGCCAGCACATCGAGCCTAGAAAACTGGCCCTCTAAGCATGCATAGTCTGTGCTTGTACCCTTCCAAGAGCTGTCGGGCACTCCACAAACAGAAGTGTCAGGGCAGCTTCTTACTTTCGAAGGTCCTTCATCATCCCAATTCCCAGCGCATAAACTGACGGCATCACCACTGCGCAGATTGCTATGAACCTCGGATGACTTCGGAGCTTTGTGCACATGTTGCGAGACTGGGTTGACTAACCTCCAGCAACAAGTACACGGCAGGCCTGAAACGTTCAGATAAACCGATCCAGGGAGCTTCACGATTCGGGGACAGGGCATCTGATCAACCCGCAAAACACAACTATCACAACATACAGCCACACGAATTTCACACAACCTGCGAGCACACCCATGTCGGTTTTTATCCGCATGGTGTTGAAAGGCTCAACTTTCGAGGTTGATTCCTAAGGCCCTAAAGCATATCCGCGTGAAGAGCATAAGGTGCAACATTGGGTGGCAATTTTGCTTTGTGATTCGATTCTCCTATATGCACGCGATATCTTGGCCTGCATTCCAAGAGACACAGGCCCGACGAGCATGGTCTGCTGCAGAATGGAGCGGCCGTCAGCCGCATCATCGATGATGTAGTAGCCTTACGATGTCGGGTTTAGGAGTTAGGATGTAGGACGCTAAGGTGAAGGGGCATCGTCGAAATTACATGCCCAGACTTTTAAAAGGAGCATGGCTGCTTCCAATCCGGCAACTGTTGACAATTGGCAATAAAACAGCGTTGATGATGCAGCTGCTTCCTCGTGGTCGTGGATTTGGTCGCGGTCATCATGGTAGTAGTAGCAGCAAAGTAAGCAGAGTCGCATTCATGCTCGGGAGAATGAACAATACTAACAGCACAACGGTGTTGCGATGCCCGGGCTGGAAAAAATTCTGGCTACCGCACGCTCACGAATGAAAATTCGTTTCGAGAAGTGCTGAATTCCCCCAATGTTTAGCGACATGAGCTTATAGGTACTTACAGGTTCAGAAGGATTTCAATCGTTTATCTTAAACGTAACACAGATGCAAACTTGCCTTACGTTCTTTGCAGGATGGATATGTTTAGATGCCGGCTCTCTTTCTCGCCCGAGGCACAGTAAGTCAGCAGATGCCAGCATGCCGAATACAGAAAGAAGAGGCTGGCAGTCTTCACCTTTGCCGCAAAACAGGAGCTCCAAGCTGAAAACGGGCAGTAGATTATTTCTGCATGGTTTTAGTTGTTTTTGTGTGTTTGTTTTCCGTTTCGTGTCTGGGGACCTCCTGGCTTCCCCCGTCTCTGGAGGGGGTACTGAGCCCTCCCACGCGGCAAGGCGGGTCCCCGTCGAGAGGGAAAAACACGAAGTTCTCCTGTATAGCAGGGGGACTAGGGGTCACTTAGCAAACTTTTTTCGGGGCCACTTAGCAAACTCGAATCCGCACCAATTCGGATCACTTAGCGAACTTTTTCGGGGTCACTTTCATCATATTATATATATATATATATATACATCTTGAACACGTTTTCGCCTTGCCGTAAACATGCCCCCTCATTTGGCGATTCCGGTTCGTCATATATCTTGAACGTGCCCCCTCGGTTGAGCGATTCGGACTCATCATACATCTTGAACACGCCCCCCTCACTTGAAGATTCGGGCTCATCCTTTGGCTTGTCTTGGCTTGGCTTGGCTTTGCTTTGCCTTGCTTTGCCTTGCTTTGC